TGTCCTGTACCAAGTCAGGAATATGGCAGTTGTTATCAAATAGTTCGTTTCTTTGTATGTTGGCGTTTGTTTTTATTGCAGTTCAGTGTTTTTGTTGTTCCGTTGATTTCCTCTTATATTTGATGTGTTTCCCTCGGTTTAAGCTTGTAACTCGGATTTGATTTCGCTTAATCGCTTAATCATTTTTGGGGTGTAAAACATTCTTTTGATGTTTTAGATAAATTACGTGCTTTTGATGGTACTTTTAATTTGGTTAACAGTTTTGACTTTTCCACTCTTTAAACTACACTTCCACACAATCTTATCAAACAAAAGTCTTCCTATTTAATTAAATGGTCTTTTGATAAATCTGATTGCAAATTTATTTGCTGCAACTCATAAAAAGCCTTTTTCTTAAATGAGAAACTTGAAGGTAAATATGCTAGATATACTTATTGGAGGTGTAATGAGATGATTAAAGCCGTAAATTTTCTCCTTGACAACATTTATGTACGTTTCGGCAATAAAGTTTATCGACAGGGTGTAGGATTCCTATGGGCACCAATTGTGCCCCTTTAATAGCAGACTTGTTCCTATACTGTAATGAATCACAGTTTATGGCCAAACTCAGTAAAGAAACGTCTAAATTCTATTTAATTGATAAATTCAACAACACTTATCTTAATGATATTTTTTCGTTAAATAATCAAGAACTTTCTAAATATACTGCTGAAATTTACCCAAAGGAACTTACTTAAAATAAATCAAACATTAACAGCGATTGTCTCTAATTGCTTCCATCCACTATTTGAACTTTGGTTGATATTTGTATCATTGTTAATCATACCACATCTCCTTATCTTTATATAACTGTCAACCGTCAAAAGCAGGTAATTTATCCAAACCAGCCAAAGACCTTTTTACACTCCAAAATAATGAATTCCTTTATTTTCATATACTTCATTACAAAAATAATATTGACCAGTTTTGTTTTTAATCATACTCATCGAGCTACATGTAGTTAAATGACAGATTAGTTTTGTTGTAGAAATTTAATTTAAAAACCGAGATGAAACGATATATGACAGTTTTTTGTAGTTTATGTCGTCTAAAACAATTCAATTGAGTAAACTAACGGCCTAATTTATAACAAAACAATTTAAGAAAAACAAATATGACAGGTGTGAACCAACAACAACCACCGAATTACAGGTTCCTGACTTGGGACAGGCACATACAGAATGTGGCTGGGTTAACCATGTTTTCGAACGCTCAAGCCTCCCCTAACGTGGAACAGTGGTGTTACTGCACAATGTAAGATCAAATTATAAAATCAGTTGCAATTTTCTCTACTCCAAAGAATCGATCCGAGGCACAACAACAAATTTGGCAACTCGGACACGTGCATGTCATGCGCTAAATCCTACAGAGTTGAGACTACTTTGGTCCCTAATGGTTTCAGAAGCTATTTTTATTAAAGGCTAAGAGCTAACGACGACGAATATAATATGATGAATGTATCACTGAGTATATCGACAAGGTGAGCATTTTTCATAGAAATTATTGTAAATCCCTGGTGCGTCCGACAAACGAATGACGGGCGTGAAAGATGAATGCAAACTTATTTATCTCTTGTGATTATGACACAACAAAGTGGTATGTCGTAGATGAAAATTAAATAATTCACCAATCATCCCTAAACGACTGATTTAAAATTGATCAATTTATTGAAGTTGACAAAAACGTTTACTTTAAGTCTATCATTAACATATATATATTTGCTTCTTCGAGTTACAAGGAATACAAACATGATATTTTATTTAAATAAAACTTTCATAACATGTTTGTCTTTTTTGTAGTGTTCCATATAATAACACGACTGTCACGTGACATGATATTTATTCAGTGGAGAAATGTTTAACATGTAATTAAGTGAGAAAACATAACCCGTATAATTCAGGTCCTCTATATAATCGATATCTCTTACTCGCTTCGTAGCCATCGTTAACGACTTGATTTAATTGATTAATCTAATTAAAAAGAAATGGCTACACGATTTCAACATTTCCCAAAACTTGTGAAAAATTGAATGAGTTAAGAAAAGTATCACTGTCCTAGGCTCTTGAAACAGAATGGTCAACTTCAACAAAAATCGTATATATAAGAAACGATTAGTAGGGCCAACTTTCCTCGTATTTGTTTTCCTGCTGGGTCAAATATAAAATCTAAAAGTTGTTAAAAGTGACTGGGTTATGAATTAAATAAGATAGTATTGTTGTTAACACTTTAAAATATTTCTATAAAATCAAAACGTAATCTATATACCTTGCTTTTCAAAACAATCGTGATGCAACAATGCGAATTTTGCATGTTTTTGTAAAAAAGGCATTTAAAGAAAACTTAAAATCAAAATGTATTAATGTGTACCCAAAGCAAAACATGAAATTGGCCTTGCCTCTTTTTATTTTTTATTTTTTGAAAAAGTAAGAAAACACCAAAAGGAAATACGTATCAGAAGGTTTTTTTGTATGTTTAACGCCGTTTTACGTGATATTCGACTTGGCTATATCAGTTTTTTATTAGTTGAGGTAATTGTAGTACCCAGAGAGAACCACACAACCGTCGGCAAGAAAACTGACAATGATCAGAGTCGAACACACCTCGCCACATGGGATATTTAAACAACAACTGACACATTTCCTGGCTTAGGTCAGTTACATTAACATGTGGTGGCATGGATTAAATTTTCGAGCACATCTCTCTGTTCATCTTACGCGAGGAAAAATGGTTTTATCTCAGAAAAACTAAAAACTAAAAAAAACCCAATATTTTCAATAGCACATAGGAACAATATTTTTTTTAACTCATTGTCGTATTCATTTATATCCTTTGTTTTAACGAAAAAGAAAATTCACTTCCCTTGTCGCAGTTTGATAACACATTGTAGGATAGTCCAACCAAATCAACGCATTTGTGTGACCACTTGTTGATATCGATATAATAAAATTAAAATTGAGAATGGAAATGGGGAATGTGTCAAAGAGACAACAACCCGACCATAGAGCAGACAACAGCCGAAGGCCACCAATGGGTATTCAATGCAGCGAGAAACTCCCGCATCCGGAGGCGTCCTTCAGCTGTCCCCTAAACAAATATGTATACTAGTTCAGTGATAATGGACGTCATACTAAACTCCAAATTATACACAAGAAACTAAAATTAAAAATGATACAAGACTAACAAAGGCCAGTGGTTCCTGACTTGGGACAGGCGCAAAAATGCGGCGGGGTTAAACATGTTTTTTGAGATCTCAATCCTCCCCCTATACCTCTAGCCAATGTAGAAAAAACAAACGTACAACAGTACGCACAGTAGAACTCAGATTAAGAGAAGTTCGAGTCCGATGCCAGAATAGGAAACAAAAGAAAAGAAACAAAATGACAATAATACATAAATAACAACAGACTACTAGCAGTTACTGACATGCCAGCTCCAGACCTCAATTAAACTGATTGAAAGATTATGTCTTCATCATATGAATATCAGGCACAATCCCTCACAATCAGTTCATATAAATAAGAAGATGTGGTTTGAGTGCCAATGAGACAACTATCCATCCAAGTCACAATGTTTAAAAAGTAAACAATTATAGGTCAATGTACGGCCTTCAACACGGAACCTTGGCTCACACTGAACAGCAAGCTATAAAGGGCCCCAAAAAGACTAGTGTAAAACAATTCAAACAGGAAAACCATTATGCTATGAGAAAATATATGTTTATTGAAGTAATAGATAAAAGGACACATCCATCAGAGAAATATATATTCTAACACTGCATCGAGTGTGATACAATATTTCTCCACTCGAGACAGTTAAATTTTTAAATTTAACTGTCTAGATTTCTTTTAGACATATTTTATTTGCTTTTTATAATACATGTATAACAAAAAAGATCAGACACAAGTTATCACAACTGAAATAGTCCTTTCCACTGTCGAGAGTTGAGAAATGTATCTTACGAGATTGACATTGTAATTATTTTTCGCTATCTCTCTTACTTTATCACGAGAAAAGGGGTTGTCTTGTTCTCTCACATTCACATTAAACTCTCAAATGATGTTAATACATGTTCACGGAATTAAATGAAACATAGTTTATCAACGAATCGACATGAACAATTCAATAATATTACAAAAAAAGGTGCGAAGTATACAACATGTGATAAATATGTTACATTAATCCATTCCAAAACTGTATATTTACATGCTGGTAGGTAGATGTATATATATTGGATATATAGTCAAAACCCATCAAATACGCAAGGCTTATTATTTGGTACGCCAGACGTGCGTTTTGTCCTCAAGTGACGCTGGGATCAAAGCAGTTGGAATGCTAAATTGATAACAAAGTTGAAGAGCAATCGAAACCGAAAATTCTTAAAAGTCGTACCAAATCTGACTAAGGTCATCTATGAAGGTCTGGATAGGGGGTCCTTTATTTCTGTATTCTTTAGTTTTTTAGGCCATTTTTCTCCATTCTTCATACTTTTTGCCCATTATTCCCTATTATTTATTTTTTAGCACCTCATTATTCTCTATTCTTTATATTTTGGTCCATTTTTCTCTATTCTTTATATTTTTTGCCCATTATTCTCTATTCTGTTAACCCAAATCCACACCCTTATCTAAGCCTGGAATAGAAAACCTTATGTTTCTTTTTATAGTTCTACTTTTTAATTCAACATTTTATTAACATTATATTTACCGAAATTGACCATATCATTGGTATTGTGAATTAAGTTTTTTTCTTATAATGAAATTGGGCACAGCATTAAAAAGAAAGTTCCTTTGGTCGATAGATAAACTGGCTGAATAAAAAAAACCCCAAAATAATGTATATAGTCTACAACTCAATTGCATTTTTGTGCTGATGCGGCGTAAAGCAATCACCAATCAATCAATACAACTAAGTTGAGTAAATTGAGTGTCATTGTAATGTTACTTTATGTATGTACAAAATGTACTATACATAAACATCTTTAAAATAGAAAAAGTCAAATCATAATCACATGGTTTGGATTTCTCGGTCCATTTATCAACCCCAGTTAAATTTAAACTGGGTATTATATAAATTCAAATATTTTGGTCAACGGCCAGAGGAATATTGGAAGACTTGTATAATGAGGTAAAATTTTTAATCCAGTCTTATGTAGTTCAAGATTCTTTTTACAACTAGTATGCATATTTTTTTTAAACATTTATTAGATAGAAATAGTTATTGATTATAACAATATATGTATCTGATAATAATTCAAATACTAGCATTTTCGAGACATTTGAAAATATTGAGAGAATTGAAAGATGAGCAGTTGAAGTACAATGTACAATCGCCATAGAGTTCCAGAATTGTCATATTTAAAAAACAAACTTACCGAGAAAGTGAAATGTTTGGTCTTTGAAACATTTTTATCTGTTTCAGTGGAAAATAATTTTATAAAATCGTATATTTATTTATTTATTTAAATATTTACAAGTTTGATCGTTTATATAAATATACATTGTTAATTTCGATTGTGTAATGCAATGTAGGCGCAGCTGGATACGACCACAGAGGTCCAACCTTTAACAGTTGGGGCAAAAATGGACACAATCTTCGCGCTTGATACAGGTCTGAATTTGGATTGTAATTCAATATTTGACACATAATAGGTTTCTGACACAGAATAACTGTAGTCAAAGAACTTAGAATTGGTTATATGACTTGAATTTATATTCATTTTTTGCTTTTGTGCAATACACTATGCTGTTGCAAATTGACCTCCCCTCACCCCACCCCACCCCCCACCCCCGAAACAAATTTTTATTTACCCCCCTTCTTTTTCAAAAACCCCTTTAAAAAAAAAAAATATTTGAAGAAATTTTCCTTTTGATTTCTGAAATCTTGAGGAGAAAAAATTGTCCCCCCCAATTTTTTTTTAACCTCCCCCCCCCCCTTTTTCCAAAAAAAAAAATTCTTTCCCTCAAGACATGGTCATAATCTCAATTCAAATTTCCAATGGAGTTTGCAACCATAATAACCCATTTAAAAACATCATAAAAGTCTTAAAATAGAAAATGACATACATAATCATAGCTAAAATTAATTTACCTTAATCAACTATTTTAAAATTATTAAAATAGTAACTTCTAAAAATGAATTGACAGCTAATCACCTCCCTTACACTGTAATGTGTACTTAAGTAATTGCCCATTAGCCAGGAAACCCTTATTTTTCTCACTTTTTTGCCCCTAATTCCTAAACGGTTTGAGCTATAACCCCAAAAGGTCAATCATAACCATCCCTTTGTGGTATGGAAACTTGTGGTACAATTTCAGAAAGATCCATACATTGTTCCACAAGTTATTGTCATGAAACTAGAAAAATGCTTATTTGGGGACCTTTTTGGCCCCTAATTCCTAAACTGTTAAGACCATAACCCCCAAAATCAATCCCAACATTCCTTTTGTGGTTATAAACCTTATGTATAAGTTATATAGATTTCTATTTTCTAATACTAACGTTATTGTCGGAAAACCAAATGTCTTCGGACGACGCCGACGACGACGAAGTGAAACCAATATACGACCGCAAATTTTTTTGCGGTCGTATAAAAACTACAGTTTCTTATTGGTGCATTCTGAATAAAATTCGGATCTATCATAACTTTCATTCATATACACCTCTATGTCTTGCATTGTTCTGGACATAATATTCAATTTCATGTATGATAGTATAGGTACATTCTATTAAGCAAATGTTGTGTTGCTCTTTTAGATGTCTTTTAACACCCTGTTTTGAACAAAACGATTTGTTACATATACAGCACAAAATGAGATCTCAACTTCAATTTTAAATTCTCATATGCTGTGATAGAAATTTTTGATATCTTTAGAATTTTTATAATCACTTTGTGTTACTCTCTACGAAATTTCACCATGTTCTGGGAAAAAGTTAAGCTTTTATTTTATTTTCTATTACATTGCTTTTTTATAGTATCAACATATGCTAATCGTACTTCAAGCATACAGATTCATTTCATCTCTATGGGTAGCAGATTTTGCTGAGCAAATTTTATTGGTTCTAAAAAATATGGGATGCCTCTATGATTATTTCATTACCTTTTGTAGTTGATAGGTTGTTTTATACAATTTACAACTATTATTTTTGTATACAGGATATTTTAAAAATGTATTGGCGGATTATGCAAAAAAATATGGAAATAGCATCTTCATCTTTGCAGAATGCTGATATGGCTTTTTAAAGTTTCATATTGAACACACCAGCATTCAGATGCTGGCATCTAATATATATATAGACTTTGATATACCTTTTGTTTGGATGCTCGCATCCCAATTATATGCATGCAGACTCAACTTTCTCTTTGGAAGCTGCCATCCCATTAACAAAATGGATGTTCATCCTTTAAAGTTAATCTCAGGGATGCTGTTATCCCAGTTGTAAGTAAAAGTTATCTCAAAACAGTATAAATTGAATGCTGACAGTCATTTCTTTTGGATGCTGGCATCCATCTTCTTTGGATGCTGGCATTCGTCTTCTTTGGATGCGAGCATCTGTTTCTTTGGATGCTGGCTCTGTTTATTATGATGCTGGCATCTGTTTCTGTGAAAGCGGGTGTGCGTTTTGTTTAAAGTCATTTCCTTTTGATGCTAGCTTCCGTCTTCTTTGGATGCTGGCATCTGTTTCTGTGAAAGCCGGTTGCTGTTTTGTTTGGAGGCTGACATCTTTGCATTGTATGTTTCTTTATATATATATTTGACCAGGTGACTTAAGTTTAATCACTCAATTGAAAAGTCTTTTATCTTTTGGTGTTTGTTTATTATTTATATAAAAAATATATAGGAAAAGCGCATGAATCTAAAACTGGTGATTATCATTGTGATGAATTATAAAAATACAAATACAACGAAACAGTAATATACAATATTATATTGTATTAAAGAGTGTTTGGAGTTACTGAAAGTGAGCTTAACCTCATAGCCTGCTAAAATGATATCATAGACATACACTCTTCTATTCAGATTGGTGACTGTATTTTATTAAAGTGCTGCAATTGAAGTCTGTAAGCCTGCGTTATAATTTTGTGTCTATGACAAACCCCCATTTTTAATTAAAGTATATATTGGCATTAAATATATAAGATATCACAAGGAGATCTTGTCTTCACCAGTTGCATACATACAATAATACATGCACCACTTTGATAACAATGCAAAATCTTTTAAATTTTATTTTGATTATCAGTAGTGGTCTCTTTAATCTGTACGTACTGGATATTGCCAATATCACTGGACTTGCTGCTGTATGCAACTTCCCATGCGTAGGCACATCATGTCATGATATATTTTCATTTCAATCACAAAACCTACATTTTCTTTATTACGATCATTGTTAAGCTTTTTTTGTATTCAATATTTATCAATCATCTAATAAAATCGGTTAAATGAACTAGAGCTTTCTAACTTTCTTTTATCATTTATAACTAATCTGAAATCAGCTGGAATCGAAAATGATCATGATGATCTGGTGCTGTTTGGATGTTTTGTCGCCTAAATTCAACCTGTCCAGTAACAATAAAGTGTTACGATACATAATACACAACACATAAATAGTAACCGGAAAAGTACAGCCACTGCTTAAAAAACACTGAAACGAGAAATGAAAATCCAGTATAGTTTTTAATACAGATAAATATTCTGACCAATTTAAATGTTTAAAGAAATTGCATAAAATGAGTTTCCTGTAGCTTACGTCTTTCATCCTCGACAATTTGGGCTCATATTTGTCTCTACGGCAATTATACCATTTCTCCTTAATTTTACATTCACAGTTAAATATAAACTGGCCTCAAGCAATCAATGAGTCTATATTCTTCATATAAAATCTTGCAAATATATGAAAGATTGTCTACAGTAAGTTTTCGTTGTAAGATCACAATACTTTTAAAGTAGATATTCATGTAGAATAAAGTGTTAAAAATATATTGCTTTCCTCCCAACGTTGAAAATGACCACTCGTGGTTGCAAAAAAACTACTTACACCCTCCCATCCTTTTCCAACCCCAAGAAAATGCATGATTATTTGAAGAAAACCTCCATTTAAACTTCACTTTACCGAAGTTTTCTATATCAAGCCTGGTGCTTCTGCGTAGTCACAGATAAAACTATTAAAAAAAACATCTGAACCACGAATTAAATCGAATTATAATTATGGAACAACACTCAGGTCTATATACTATCAAATAAACAGCTGCGCCATGAGCGCATGCTACGCCCGTCGCTTTTTAAAAGAATAAAGTTCAATAACTTCTCAATGTCATATCAGAAGTTTATGAAAAACTAAAGGGAGGTTATCTTAATAGATATAAACCAGTCACCAAAGTTTCATGAAAACTCCTCAAAGCACTTTAAAGATACTGTCTGAGAACTGGAAAATCAACCCCTTTTTTGAATAAAAACCCATAACTCTGAAATATAAAATCTAAAATTTATAATAATCGAGATGGAGCTTACGTCAATAGATATAAACAATTCACCAAAGTTTCATGAAAACTGCTGAAAGTGTTTTTGAGTTATTGTCCGAAAACTGGAAAATCACCCTTTTTATAATAAATTAAACCCCATAACTCGGAAATGTAAAATCTAGAAAATCGAGTGGGAGCTCATGTCAATAGATATAAACAATTCGCCAAAGTTTCTTACAAATTGGTGTAAGTGTTTTTGAGTTTTTTCCGAAAACTTGAAAATCCTTTTTTTAATGAATAAGACCCCATAACTCGGAAAGTTAATATCTAAAATTTATAAATAAAAACGAAAGGGAGCTCACGTTAACAGATATAATCAATTCACCAAAGTTTCATGCAAATTGATTAAAGCGTTTTTGAGTTATTGTTGGACTATGTTGACGACGGACGGACAACGTGTACTATAATACGTCCTGTAAACGGGCGTATAAAAAGGCTGCAATTTCATCAATATCATTCATTTCGCAGAATTATACCCTATTTTTAGATATTTCATGAAATTGCAATCACATGGGTGGATTCATTTTACATCTCAATTTATGTTCCGTATTTTGCTTGACAATAGTCATAAAACACAAACTTTGTGTGGCGATATTTACATTTT